GGACGCTCACCTGTGTGAGTCATCTGGTGTATAAGAAGCTCTCCTTTCTGAGTGAAACATTTCCCGCACTCAGAACAGGTAAAAGGACGCTCGCCCGTGTGAATTCTCTGGTGCATAAGTAGATGTTCTTTCTTAGTGTAACATTTCCCGCACTCCAAACACAAATATGGACGCTCGCCTGTGTGAACCCTCTGATGTCTAAGAAGTATACTTTTGTAGGAAAAACATTTCCCGCACTCGGAACACGAAAAAGGACGCTCATCTTTATGACTTCTCTGGTGTGTTATAAGTGCTGCTCTGTAACTGAAACATTTCCCGCACTCTGAACATGAGAAAGAACGCTCACCCGTGTGAATCCTCTGGTGTCTAAGAAGTATGCCTTTCTCCGTAAAACATTTCCCACAATCTGGACATGAAAAAGGACGCTTGCCTGTGTGAATTCTCTGGTGTATAAGAAGTGCACTTTCCCTATAAAAACATTTCCCGCACTCAGAACATGAAAAAGGACGCTCACCCGTGTGAATTCTCTTGTGTCTAACAAGGTTTCTTTTCTGAGTGAAACATTTCCCGCACTCCAAACATGTAAAAAAATTCTCTCCTTTTTTAATTCTTTTAAGGGATAAAGAAGACTCCTTGAGATTAGATGAACTTCCACCACCATTTGCCCCGTCAGATATTAGACGGCCGTCTGAAGTCCAAGTAGGTGACCTATCAGGAGATTCCTCAGAATCAGACACATCCAATGAGCTCTTCCAATGATGAGGTCTGCCATGTATATTATAAGTGATGGGATTTACTTCTGGAGAACATGAGATGCCGTTGTTTTCTGCATTTACATCTTCCTCCGATGTTCTTCTATTCCAAGCGCAGAGTCCGCCTGTCGGGGAAATAAGAATTGGAAGTATTTTCCAGGAGTTATATATGATGGAGATGGATCTTCCATATGGTGTCCAGTATCTCCTCCTCATTTGTTGGGGAACATGACGTTATATTGAGGAATGGAGATGGACCTTTCATATGTTGTCCAGTATCTCCTCCTCATTTGTTGGGAACGTGACGTTATATTTGAGGAATGGAGATGGACCTTCCATATGGTGTCCAGTATCTCCTCCTCATTTGTTGGGAACATGACGCTATATTTGAGGAATGGAGATGGACCTTTCATATGGTGTCCAGTATCTCCTCCTCATTTGTTGGGAACATGACGTTATATTGAGGAATGGAGATGGACCTTTCATATGGTGTCCATTATCTCCTCCTCATTTGTTGGGAACATGACATTATATTGAGGAATGGAGATGGACCTTTCATATGGTGTCCATTATCTCCTCCTCATTTGTTGGGAACATGAAGTTATATTTGAGGAATGGAGATAGACCTTTCATATGGTGTCCAGTATCTCCTCCTCATTTGTTGGGAACGTGACGTTATATTGAGGAATGGAGATGGACCTTTCATATGGTGTCCAGTATCTCCTCCTCATTTGTTGGGAACATGACATTATATTGAGGAATGGAGATGGACCTTTCATATGGTGTCCAGTATCTCCTCCTCATTTGTTGGGAACATGAAGTTATATTTGAGGAATGGAGATAGACCTTTCATATGGTGTCCAGTATCTCCTCCTCATTTGTTGGGAACGTGACGTTATATTGAGGAATGGAGATGGACCTTTCATATGGTGTCCAGTATCTCCTCCTCATTTGTTGGGAACATGACGTTCTATTGAGGAATGGAGATGGACCTTCCATAAGGTGTCCAGTATCTCCTCCTCAGTTGTTGGGGTACGTGACGTTATATTGAGGAATGGAGATGGACCTTTCATATGGTGTCCAGTATCTCCTTCTCATTTGTTGGGAACATGACGTTATATTGAGGAATGGAGATGGACCTTTCATATGGTGTCCAGTATCTCCTTCTCATTTGTTGGGAACATGACGTTATATTGAGGAATGGAGATGGACCTTCCATACAATATCTCTTCATGTCAAAAAAAGGTAAACAAAAGAAAAAGGCTTTTAAGATGGAGAAGATGGAAAGCAGATTTGGGTTGTGTAGGTCAGGTTTTTACCAATTTTGCATTTAATGAGGATTATGTACCAGAACTTATTTCTGGAGAAGTTTCTTCCTCTTTAAACTGCATCCATCATTCCAACCTCCTCTGTAAACTGCTGATCACCCCTCATGTAGGTCTCTTTTTCCTTCTTTATAACCTTAATTTTTACATTAATCAGATCTTCATCCTAAACCAACAAAATGGCAGAAAACAATATTTTTAGAATGTAAACTTTATTATACAGTTTTGCTCAAAATTTTGCCTCCCCCCCCTTCCTTGGAGAATTGGTAATATAGAGGATGTATTACTTTTAAAGGAAACACGAGTGAGCCAGCAAAACCCACTTCTTGTATTTCTTATGGGATTGATATTCTGTAACTGGAGGGGATACCAGAATGGGCCAATCATAAATCAAAACATGGTGACAAGTCAACCAATAAGATACCCTCTGTTCAAAACGCTGAACCCCCTTAGTTCTTAATCCTGTGTAGCGCCCCCTTTAGCATCAATGACAGCATGCCGTCTTCTGTAATAGTTATCTATGAGGCCCCCGAATTCTTGCCGATGGTAGAGGTGCCTATTCGTCTTGGCAAAATGCCTCCAGGTCTCCAATGTCTTTGGTGGTCTTCCATGAACGGCACATTTGAGATCTCCCCAGAGTGGCTCGATAAATTGAAGGTCAGGACACTGATGGCCACTCCAGAACCTTCACCTTTATCTGCTGTGACCACTGGAGGGTCAGCTTGGCCTTGTGCTTGGGGTCATTGTCGTGCTGAAAGGTACACGAGCGACCCATGCGCAGAAGTATGCAAATTGCCTGCCAATATTTTGAGTTAGCCCGCTGCATTCACTTTGCCATCAATTTTCACAAGATTCCCCGTGCCTTTAGAGCTCACATACCCCCAAACACATGTGAGCCACCACCATGCTTCACAGTGGGGATGGGGTTCTTGTCACTATAAGCCTTGTTGACCCCTCTCCAAGCATCGTGCTTCTGGTTGTGACCATAACACTCTATTTTGGTCTCGTCACTCCAGATTACAGTGTGCCAGCAGCTGTGAGGCGTGCCAAGGTGTTGCCGGGCATACTGTAACCGGGCTTTTTTTTGGCATTGGCACAGTAAAGGCTTCTTGCTGGCAACTCGACTATGCAGCTCATTTTTGTTTAAATATCATCCTATCATGCTCCTTGAAACAACCACACCCTCTTTTTCCAGAGCAGCCTGTATTTCTCCTTAGGTGACCTTTGTATCCTGGACAATTCTTCTGGCAGTTGTGGCTGCAATCTTTCTTGGTCTACCTAACCTTGGCTTGGTATCAAGAGATTTCCGAATTTTCCACTTCTTAATAGGTGATTGAACAGTACTGGCTGGAAAATTCAAGGCTTTGGATAAATTTTTTTTGCATCTTTTCCATCTTTATAAAGTTCTGTAACCTTGTTACACAGGTCTTTTGACAGTTCTTTTCCGCTCCCCATGGCTCAGTATCTAGCCTGCTCAGTGCATCCACGCGAGAGCTAACAAACTCATTGACTATTTATACACTGACACTAATTGCATAAAGCTTTGGATATCTTTTTAGATTCTTTTCCATCTTTATAAATTTCTGATACCTTACGCAGGTCTTTTGACGGCTCTTTTCTGCTCCCCATGGCTCAGTATCTGGCCTGTTCAGTGCTTCCACATGAGAGCTAACAAACTCATTGACTATTTATACACAGACACTGATAGCAGATGTGGGAAATGAACCTTTAATTGCCATTGTAACCTGTGTGTGTCCCCTTGTGTGTCTGTACCAAGGGCGAACATTCCAGGGGGCGGAGACTTCTGATCCGGACCATTTGGGTGATTTCTGTTATCATTAGGATTTAAAAAGGAGCCAAACAACTACGTTATCATAAATGTCTTCCTATCATCGCTATCCTTCATTAAAAGAGATTTTTGGCACGATCGGTCGGATTTTCATCATCAATGCTGAAATTTCACCATTTCTGCCAGGAGAGGCAAAGTTTGGAACACAACTGTACATAGATGAGTGTTATCTCTTAGGTTCTGGGATAATTTTTCTACATACTCAACTCAATCTACCTGATGATGGTGAGGGATGGTGTGACCATCCTGTGGGGAATCCTGGGAATACAGAGGACGGGGACATCTCTCTGGTGGGTTCCCCTTACTGGATCCATCTACCTGATGATGGTGAGGGATGGTGTGACCTTCCTGTGTGGAATCCCAGGAATACAGAGGACGGGGACATCTCTCTGGTGGGTTCCCATGACTGGATCCATCTACCTGATGATGGTGAGGGATGGTGTGACCTTCCTGTGTGGAATCCCGGGAATACAGAGGACGGGGACATCTCTATGGTGGGTTCCCCTTACTGGATCCATCTACCTGATGATGGCGAGGGATGGTGTGACCTTCCTGTGTGGAATCCCAGGAATACAGAGGACGGGGACATCTCCTTGGTGGGTTCCCATTACTGGATCCATCTATAAGAAGAAAGGTATAGAGGATGATGAGGAATCTGGGTGAACCCCTATTTTGCCTTTTTTTCTTAAACTAAACTCTCTTGAGCTCGGCAAACAGCATTTTCAGAAGAATGCAATCAATGATAACCCACATAGTCCTCTCATGATAGATAAGTGAGCAACCAATCAGACAACGAATATAAATCGTTGTGTAGAACGTTTACAATCACCTTCAATGATATCCAGAGAAGATTCCACCTTCATTTCTGTCACCATCATCTCCTCAGTTGACCGCTGATCACCCCTCATGTTCATTTCTTCTTCTTTACTTTCCACTTTCACATTCATCAGATCTTCACCCTTCCATCACAAAATATTGAAAAAGAGAACATCAAATTATAAGATCTGCACTTCATCTGAGAAGATAACATTGCAGAGAGGACCATATACTGTTTGTTTTACATGTTCCACCTACCTGATGATGGTGAGGGATGGTGTGACCTTCCTGTATGGAATCCCGGGAATACAGAGGACGGGGACATCTCTCTGGTGGGTTCCCATGACTGGATCCATCTGTAGGAAACAGACACACTGACTGAATCCATTGTTTCTATGTGTTTATCAGATGATGGGGGATCTAGGTGGATCCTCCGTACTGCTCTCTCCTTTTCCAATAAAGTCTCCTCTTACCCGGTGATGTGAGGGGGCGGCTGATTGTCCATCATGACGTCCTGTAGAGGTCCTTGTGTCCTTCTAAATACTCCCACTCCTCCATGGAGAAATAGACAGTGACACCCTGACACCTTATAGGAACCTGACACACACAATGATACAGTCACCATCCAGACACATCCCTTGTCTGTTACTGGAGAATGTCCCAGAATTCCCGGCACCGCTCACCTCTCCTGTCAGCAGATCAATGATCTTCTGGGTGACTTCTAGAATCTTTAAGGAAAGGGAGACATCAGTTTTAGATGGGGGTGAGGAGCGGGGACGGCAGTGTTGGATGGGGGGGTGAGGAGCGGGGACGGCGGTGTTGGATGGGGGGTGAGGAGCGGGGACGGCGGTGTTGGATGGGGGGTGAGGAGCGGTGTTGGAGGGGGGGTGAGGAGCGGGGATGGCGTTAGATGGGGGGTGAGGAGCGGGACGGAGGTGTTAGATGGGAGGTGAGGAGCTGGGATGGCGGTGTTGGATGGGGGGTGAGGAGCGGGGACTGTTGGATGGGGGGGTGAGGAGCTGGGGGGGACGGAGGTGTTGGATGGGCGGTGAGGAGCTGGGACGGCGGTGTTAGATGGGGGGTTAGGAGCTGGGACGGTGGTGTTAGATGGGGGGTGAGGAGCTGGGACGGTGGTGTTAGATGGGGGGTGAGGAGCTGGGACGGCGGTGTTAGATGGGGGGTGAGGAAGCTGGGACGGCGGTGTTAGATGGGACGGCGGTGTTGGATGGGGGGTGAGGAGCTGGGACGGCGGTGTTAGATGGGGGGTGAGGAGCTGGGACGGCGGTGTTGGATGGGGGGTGAGGAGCGGGGATGGCGGTGTTGGATGGGGGGTGAGGAGTGGGGACGGTGGTGTAAGATGGTGGCAGGCAGCCATGTCTCCTGGTGTCACACACGCAGAGTATAGATGGCACAGTGGAGGTTTTCCTGGCATAGACACGGCGGGGTTCCCGGTCCTCCGGTATATACAGATCTGGGGGCCCGGTCATCCGGTATATACAGATCTGGGGGCCCGGTCATCTGGTATGCACAGCTCTGGGGGCCTGGTCCTCCGGTATATATACAGACCTGGGGGCCCGGTTGGTGTTCAGGCAGAGGACAGGATTAGTAGTGGGGAAGCCGCTGAATATTTCCAGAAGTGTCGGGGTCACCATGAGCGCTGCTTCTCACCCAGATATATTGCGAGTTCCTTCGGCTCTGCCTGGTGAGGGCGCTACATGTTCCTCTGTTCCCTTCCCCCAGAGGCAGGACAGGATGACATTTCCTTTATGTAAATTTTTTGTTTATTAAAATCTTGCAAACAAATAACATAATAAAAATCATATTTACATATATACAGAATAAAATATATATAATTCAACAAAACCAGCTTACTTCAGCAAAGTACTAACAAATCCTGACCGTCACCTAAACACCCCCCCCCCTCAGGCTAAGAAACAATTAAACATTGATCCCATGCATGCAGCCTTTCTTCAAAAATCTGATGTTACAAAAATCTAGGGGACCTGAAAGGACAGAAAGAGAAGCCACGCCCCCAGAGACTGACAGCAGCTACGGGGACCTGACATTCCTCCACGCCTTTGTCCAGGCTCCCAGCCGCCACCTGTCCTTCTCAAGACCCTGAAACTTCCCAACCTCACCCAGAATGTTGTTCACCTCGACAGGAAGGACTTTTTTTGCGAATGGAAACCTGACAGCGTGCATTCCACGTGTAGTAACAGACTACTAAGCTAACTAGAAAAGTGTCTCAAAATCAAAGTCCCGGTGAGTCTGAAAGGCACCGTAAGACCACTCCGCGTAACTCAAGCGGGAAAGGAAAGGGATCCCCAGAGCCCAACCCGCTTGCAGACATCTATATTGAAGGGGCACTAAAGCAAGAAATGATCCATCGTCTCCTCCACCCCACCGCACTCCACTCTTGGACAACCACGGTTCTCCGCAGAGCGATGCTTCAGGTTGCCCTTCACATAGAGTCTGCCATGGAACGAGAGCCAGGCCAGATCCCGAAACTTTAAAGGGATTCTCTCCAGATTCATCAAACGCAGACCCTCCCTCATAACCGGGGCTGGGCAATCCCTCAAGGCCAATTTCCTTTATGTAATTACCTCCTTTGCTGCCAATTCCACCAATGTCTCCTCTCTACTTCCTCCAGACTCCCCTCTCACCAGGTTCTTCCTGTTTGGATCTGAAACTACTTCCTGTCTGTAGCTTCCCCACTTCCTCTGTTTCTTTATTGCTTCCTGTCTATCCGATAACATCACTTCCGGGATCTGTGGAACAACATCACTTCCTGTCTGTTTATGTTCCACTTGAGATCAGTCAGATCACCACCTTGTGGTACTGTCCGGGATGAGGGGGTTTTTGTACTTTGCTTACTGTGGGGATTTTATGGGGGTACTCTCCGGATATGTTTATGGGGTACTGTCGGGATACGTTTATGGGGTACTGGGGGATACTGTCCTGAGATACGTTTATGGGGGTACTGTCCGGGATACGTTTATGGGGTACTGTCCGGATACGTTTATGGGGGGTACTGTCCGAGATACGTTTATGGGGGGGTACTGTCCGGGATACGTTTATGGGGGTACTGGGGGTACTGTCCGAGATACGTTTATGGGGTACTGTCCGGGATACGTTTATGAGTTTATGGGGTACTGTAGATACGTTTATGGGGTGGGGGGATATGTTTATGGGGGTACTGTCCGGGATACGTTTATGGGGTACTGTCCGGGATACGTTTATGGGGTACTGTCCGGGATAACGTTTATGGGGGTACTGTCGAGATACGTTTATGGGGTGCTGTCCGGGATACGTTTATGGGGTGCTGTCCGGGATACGTTTATGGGGTGTACGTTTATGTACTGTACGGATACGTTTATAGGGAGTACTGTCCGGGATACGTTTATGGGGTACTGTCCGGGATACGTTTATGGGGGTACTGTCCGGGATACGTTTATGGGGTACTGTCCGGGATACGTTTATGGGGGTACTGTCCGAGATACGTTTATGGGGTACTGTCCGGGATACGTTTATGGGGGTACTGTCCGAGATACGTTTATGGGGTGCTGTCCGGGATACGTTTATGGGGGTGCTGTCCGGGATACATTTATGGGGTGCTGTCCGGGATACGTTTATGGGGGTGCTACTGTACGGGGTGCTGTCCGGGGATACGTTTATGGGAGTACTGTCCGGGATACGTTTATGGGGTAATGTCCGGGATACGTTTATGGGGTACTGTCCGGGATACATTTATGGGGTACTGTCCGGGATACGTGTATGGGGTGACCCCTTGGCACCTCCAGGTCCTTCAAGGGGTTTCAGATGTGGGGAGGCCTGGTGGGGTTTCTGATCATGTAACCGCCGTCATTGGCTGTCACAGTGGTCACATGATCGGAAAACTCCCGATCACAAGTAGAGACCAAGATCCTCCCGCTAGCTGCCGGCAGGCTTGGACTGGCTATAGGGCACAGCGGGCATTTGCCACCTGGACAGAGGAACCGAACCGTGCATTTTCCACCTGCCAACACTAAATGCCGCTTCTCCTCCTCTCCCTTCTGCAGGCATTCAGCGGCGGCAGGAGAGAAATGCACGGTCCGGTTCCTCAATGTGCCGCCCGGTAGCCCCTCCTATCTAGGTTAAAAATAAAAACCTACTGACACTAGTGGTGGATCTACCAGGGTCACAAAGGTCGCTCTTGCAACCAGGCCCTGGTGTTCCTGCATCAGGCTCCAAGGAAAGGGGCCCCCAGGCTTGGGGCTGCTCAGTCTAAAATAGCCAAGCCTGTTTTTTTGTCCCAGCCCGGGCCTGGCTGCTGGTAACTGTGCCGAGAGCATGTATGTATCGCAATCACCCTCTTCATGTGTAGGCACCCCCTGATGCACGTGTTCACATTCGTACGTACATATATGTAGAGGTGGGGAGCCTCAGAAATTTTTTGTGGTGAATTTTATGTGCTCGAGTGTAACTTTAATTTTTTACCTTTTAAAAAAAAAAATATATATATATATATATATATAAAATCATATCGGAAACAAAATGTCCCTTATGTGATGACTTGGTGACAGGTTCTCTTTATTGAGACATCCGGGGGGCCAAAAGCTTGAGTGTGAAATGATGGAGCCAATCAATGCGACCATGAGGAGGAGAACCAAGATGGGAATGTTCTTTGTGGTGTTTGTAGGGGCTCCATGTATCCTTAGATATCATCTGGAACTGGACCTTCTGGGGCCTCTGAAATGAAACCTTCTGGGGCCTCTGAAATGAGACCTTCTGAAACTGGACATTCTGGAAATGGACTTTCTGGAGCCTCTAGAAGTAGACCTTCTCGACCCTCTGGAAATGGACCTTTCTGGACTCTCTGGAAATGAACCTTCTCAACCTTTTGAAACAGGACCTTCTGCACCCTCTAGAAATGAACCTTGTAGACTTTCTGGAAATGGAACTTCTAGACCCACTGGAAATGGACCTTCTCAACCTTCTGAAACTGGACCCCCTGGAACTGGGCCTTCTCGACCCTCTGGAACTGGGCCATCTCGACCCTCTGGAACTGGGCCTTCTCGACCCTCTGGAACTGGGCCTTCTCGACCCTCTGGAACTGGGCCTTCTCGACCCTCTGGAACTGGGCCTTCTCGACTCTCCATCTCACTTAGACAACCCCAATGCATGACTCTCCATGAACTGATCACATTCCAATCACCGATGATATAAGAATTATGCTCATTGGTAATAAAGATGACTCTGGCCAGAATGTTGTGTAGAGCGTTCCTGTTTATTTTACCGGATGGGAATTAGTGATGATCACAAAGCACAGGACAGGAATAAACAGTATCCCAATATAAAAGTTTTGAGTTTTCACAAA